TGTCCAACTGATTTTCCTTGTAACAATTTTTAATTAGCCCATGCCTTGTGTTTCTGGATAGTGACTGTTTGCATCAACAAGTCAACAGCGTTCTCTGAAAGTGTGCAAGATTCCTCAGGGTTATAACAGCAGCTCCTTACACCACAAGTTCTTTTTATGTATAACTTTCCATTATTATTATTTTTCAATATGACACTGAAAGCTACTGCAGCACATTTCATAAGAAATAAAACACAGATCGGCTGTATGTAGATTCAAGCCATCATCCCGCAGTATGATTCAGTAGCTTAAGAGTGCAGATGTCAAGCCTTACAGGGCTTTCCAGATCACCTCTTAGAACAAAGTAATTCTCCCTGTCTCTATAAGGTGCATTTCCCTCCATTGAAAGAAGGAGATGCTCCCGTAATCTGGGGTTTGGATCATGTCTCATATCGATCGTGCAAGAAGGCACAATCTTGATTGAGGTTTCCAGGGGCTATTCAGACTCAAGTAGATTAATGCCATCAATAATGTAAAAACTATTAAGTGCTCTGAATTATTCCTTCATTCCCAAGCCAAAATCTTTTATTAGACTAGCTGAAGAATATTCATTTACGGCACGTCTCTCACAGTCCGCACAAAACACTCTACTGGTACCCGAAAGAACTGAGCCTGAGCAATGCAAAGATCCCTGCAAGAAACAAAAAGACACACTATACAATATTTGCACTATTCTTTCAGATTAAAGTCACAGAAATAATCGGGTAAATAAAACTGGTAGGGAGGAAAAGACTAGATATTATAGTCAGACATCAACTCAATAGCAATGCATATATCAAAAGACTACTACATCATTCTAGTGGTAGACAAAATTTTCAGTCAGAAAGACGGCATCTACCCCAAGATTTTCCCTTTCAAAAGACAATCAAACTAAGAGACAAATCATCTACAGAAAAGATCTCACAAAACAGGTGTGACCAGCTGACCACAGAGCTGTTCTGTTTTAACTGTAGCATAGTTCAGCTGAATCTATAATCTCCACTTGAGCTGGAAAAAATCACACAATGAAACAGTCATTTGGAAAAAGTACATTCTCTGAATAGTAAACAAAGAATATCATCTATCAATAAAAGTGGAAGCATATTGTACCCCTGGACAGTATCCCCTCACTATGCTTACGAGTTCACTTGCATTCTACATTTAAAGGACATTTCCAACTTGCCATGTGCCATCATATTCATCTTAATTTTTAAATTCTAAACACCAAAGCATTGTGAATTCTATTCAAACCATATGCCCCCTTTCTGTACCTCAGGGCACACAAATCATTTAAATTAAGGTTGACAGGTCTCTCTCTGTGTCACCAAAACTGCATGTAAACCAGCAGAATATTTAGGAAAAAATGTAAACATCAGGAACAATATTATTTGAATATATTTACAGTGTATTAGTTATGATACAAATGCTGCAATACAAGAGCTAAAGGTTTTTAAAGGTTCCAATCTAACACCTATTCAAATATGAAGACCAAATTTGCTAACAGCCTGATGAAAACAAATGTTTAACCTTTAATACTCTGACAAGCATAAAAAATACCCTCCAGCACTCCTCGACTGGCAAGTTTATTTTCTGCATAGATTTTATCCTATTATGTTGTAACAATCCTTCATTACCCCAGTACGATAACACATAGTCTATGGTCTACCTACAGTTGTCTGGTGCCTATTTAGTTTTATCACAAGCAAGCAATTTGAGAATATGGTAATAAACCCTCAATCACTGTAATGAGGTATGATGGGTTGTAATTTCTCTGTGCTAATGGGTTACAAACAGTATTACAATGATGACGGGAATATCATTGATTCATTATGACTGCAATAATATCAAAATGACTTAATATAGATCACTATTAACTCATGCGCATACTGCTAACAGCCTCTCTGTTTCTACATACATACATATAATACATAAAATTAATATTTGTCTTTATATAAAATTCACACAGCACAAAACATTGTGTTGAATTCCCTAAATCAATATTTAAAGTTGGAATTATTGCATTGAACTTGTTCTTCGGAAAGAAGACCATTGATTTTAATCTGCTTGAAGCAATCAATTACTCCCTGTCCTCTTTATTCCGAACTGTAATGAAAACTAAACTGCGCTGTCTTGAAAACTAAATGTGAAGATGATCATAAACAGAATTTAAACTCCATGGATTATTCATATCTACCCATTTAGATTTGCCATTTCCATTATGAGTACATTTGCCATGAGCATTTAATGGACATCTAAAAGGGAATTCATTAAAGCAGGAGCTGTTGGCAGCACTTATGGCCTTCAGACTGCTTTATGTTTGCCTTTAATAGCTCGCTATTATAAAAGTGATATATTGTGTTCATCCCATTAGTAGTTTGCAGAAAGGTCTGTAAGACATAACAGAGCTAGAATCAAAACTAATATTACAAAAGTATTTTTAAAGGCGCATGCAAATATCGGAAAAGTATGGATTATTTATATTAGCCAATGTCAGATTAGCCATCAGTTAACAAAATATGTAAATAATATCTCTGTTCATCCAGTACAAAAACACACGTGTTTTTTCAGGTTTTAACTCTGGTAATTAGTAACCTTCCATTTTGTTAAAAGAAGGCTATAATAGATGAGACTGGTCTCTGTAACTGATATTTTGAAAATCATACTGAAACGTACTAGGAAACCATGTTTCTCCTTGGTCAAAGCCTGTCATGATAACACCAAATAGTTATTTTATGCTAGGAAGCCATATCTTTAAGAGCCTATGAGAACTAGCGTTGAAACTGTAGATTATAATAAGATCTTAGTTAAATAAATAATCTAATTAAGAAGCACAACTGTGAATTTGCTTCATCTTTGAGGACAAAGTGCAGGTGATATTATCCCTGGAGTAATCCATGCTAACATGCAACTGTGATAGTACATAGTAAAGAGCAGGTGAGAGTAAGACATGGCCATGATGACACTGAAAGGCCCTCTCCAAGCCTCCACTACCAGGTAGACAAGGAAGAGTTCTTTCTACCTAAATAGGGAGAGTAGTTCCCTTCCACAAGTTAGGTGTGGATGTATATGTTTATGTGCATATAAGAGAAAGAGAGAAATATAGTAAATACATGCATTTAGGGTGAATGTGTTATGATACTCTTACCTCCTCCCATCTCACTCATTAGCCCTCAGCTCTTGAGAGACAGTAAAAGATACACGTCGTGTGTCATGCTGATGAACTGGCCCTACACAACATGACAGCCCTAGCTAATCCCCCTGAAACTACACATCCTTGGAGGAGGAAACTACACAACATTCCTCTTGCAAATTTGATGTTTATTTATTTATTTAAAACATTTATATTCCGCCCTTCTCACCGGGGATTCAGGGTGGAAGCACAACACATACACGGCAAACTTTCAATGTTGGAACGTACAATAAATTATAAACATAAACATTAAAACCATGTGATATGCAGGTTAAATGTACACCATTCAATTGCTTATTTATAATAAGTTTGAAAAAACCACATTGTTATTTGGGTGAACCCACAATCATGTAGCAAGGGGTTTCCCTCCCAAAGCAGCTGTTCTAAATATTCATATACACACTAACTGCAGCCCACAGATACCATCACAAAAGTAGTATTCCTCTGTCTGACCATACAAGAAGAAATACCTCTTCTAAAACGCTATCAGATATCCATAGCATAACAAAGACACTCTTAAACTGGCTATATATTTTGCTAATGATAAATAGAAAGCTCGTAACATAACTTATTAATATCAAATTAAGAGTTGTTCTCTAAGAGTCATTTGGGACTTTGGATCTTCAGGAAGATATACCTATTTCCAGGGAGAAGAGCACTCCCAAGGGTTTGTTGTCGTCGTTGCATCTCCCCCCATGCTTTCAATGTCCCTATTGCAAGCACTGTTTGCACGTTTGAAAGAATCTCTACAGACATGAAAACTAAAAAGTAAAAGCTTTAATTCCCAGAATATATAGATTTTGAAGTTTCCTACAAAACAATGTATGGCACAGACTTATACAAGGCAATCACTGTGGGGAAAGAAAGTGAAGGATTTATTAGGAATAAATTGGAAATAGATGACTGTTATGGTTTCCATATTTTCAAAGTAGGGTACTTTCATCTGGATTTGTTTTACATTGACTTGAGAGAGGAAAAGCAAGAGACATCTCTACTGATAAAGAGAGGTCTTCTGCACAGATGACCATGTTCTTAAAACTAATACCCTAAGGGTCAAAACAAGAAATATCGCCTCCCAATCCACCTCTATCTCAAAATATGAGGGCCTAAAGGCCTGTACATTCAGAGAGCATTACATAATTACAAGTTTTGGTTAGACAATATTGGGTGTTGGAACAGCTAAGGAAAAACAGCAGCCCCCTCAGAGGCTAAAAGAATAACGTAACTACAGTGGTGCGTGTAACTTTACAGCGTAACTTTCCTTCCTTCAGGACTACCCAGAGACAAAGCAGCTTGTTGAAGGAGTCTCATCCGCCAAGCAAAATTTGACTCTTGAAAGGATCCTTTCAATGGTGATGATTCCATCACTTCTAAGGATACATGAGGATTCCCTGTTAACCCTGCTGATTGCACATCTTAATTGCTGAAGCTCAATTTAATCTATCATTTTGAAATAAGTCTCAAAGAATGTGAAAGAATTATAGAGCTGTGTGGACTGGCTCTCTCATTAAGTTGAAACTTCATATTAATGATACTTTAAACATGAAGAAATGAATTAAATTTAAAGTTCCCATAACGTCAACAATCCCAATTCTAGTTCTTGTTGAGACTCAATTGCTAGTTAGGACTCAGGTTGTTTACATCTTTTTGGTTGTTAAACCTTCTAAAGAGTTTGATCCATTTCTAATGACATTCTCCTTGCTATCTTACCTTGCCATGCTGGATAACAACCTGAGAGATAGACTTGACTCATCTGCCACATGGACCAATAGATGAACCAAACTCTTCAAGTATGGAGGGAAAACCCATTGTGGATTAGTTTGCTACGGGTCTTCAAAGACAGATGGACAGTTTTCTGTGCAATAAAACAGAAACAAAGATAGAAAGAAAATAGAGTGGTAGTAGTTCTAATCCCCTTTCTCTGGATAAAAAAATACACATATTTGGGGTTAAATACAGTATGTTTAACTACAGTAAAGAGTTTGAATTAATGGAGTCTAATAATGTTGACATAATAATGTCAATTTATTCAAAAGGTCTACTCGAATTAGGCCTAACAATTGGATTTAGTCACAAAGTCATAAACTTGTGTGCCATTTTGAAATTCTACATACACTTACCTGGGAATAGATCATAAAGCTTAATACTGAAGAGACGTGAATATGATCACATTGTAGGCTGATTATGGAAAGTAAAATTTAATTGGTGGAGCTAAACACAAAGGATATTTAAGTATTAATTAATGGATTCCCAACCCCTTCAACTTCAACCTACTGAACTGCTTTATATTTGTATGGACATTTTTAAAGTCAATCTTTTAAAATAAAAGTCAAAGGATGTCTGTTTGTACCACAAAGACTGTTGCTAGATGACAGTCCAGTGGCGCTTTGTGATGTCTCTGGGAAAGAAAGATGACATGTGTCTGAGTGGAAACAAGGAAGGAAGGATAGAGAAAAACGAGAGCAATATTACAATGGAGACATTGTGAGGCTCTCTCAGAGCTGGGGGAGGGTGCGGGAGGGAGGGAGGAGAGAGGAAGGAGGGGGGGGGAGAAAAAGACAGGAAAGGAGAAGGAATGGAGGGAGGGAGGGAGGGAGGGGGAAGAAAGAAAAAAGAGGGAAGGGAGAGAGAGAGATAGGAAAGGGGGAAAGGTATGATGGGAGGGGAAAGAGAATGAGAGGATGAAAGTAGGGTGCCCTCTTCAACACACAGGCAAAGTTTGTTCATAAAGGGGGGGGGGGCTAGCTTAGCTGCTAAAGTACATCTATTGAAGAAAGGCTGGGTATCCCAAAGCACCAACACAGCTATGTTGCTTTCTACTTGAGAATTTTCCATCCCTTTTTATGTCTGCGTTTGCAAAAATTATGGGTGGAGACTGAACTAGAAGATACATCCAAGAGGAGTCCCTTTTGTTCTGCAATCTTCAATATTACCTGCCCACTCCTTGGGACAATTCTTAAGGTTCAAAATAAATGGATGCCTAACTAGGCATCCTTCTGATGACATATTACGAAAAACTGAAGGCAGTAGGAAAAGAGGAAGACTACATTACAGATGTATTGAGTCAATATAGGAGTTTGGAAGGCCTGAGTAAGACTCTTACTAACAAGGTATCTTTGAGGTTTGTCATTCCTTGGACTGTCTAAGTCTACACCACAGCAACAAAGTGTGTCTCCTGCTATAGATCCACTTACTCATTTAATTTTACATCCTTTTTTCTACTACCTTCATAAACATGTACAATTTTTAGGTGTCTATAGTGGCATATACAGATTAAAGGAGAAAAATTAAAGAAGCATTTATGCAAAATGACATATCTTGTTTTCTAAGTATAAATCAAGTGCAACATTTTATTATAAATTCAGAAGTAGCACAACAGGGTACTAGAACCTTAAAAGGCATTTGATAAGATAATGTGATCATTTCAAAATAACTCTGAATTTTTCCATTTCTGATTAACAGATTAGTATAAGGAAAGGGTATTAACATACTTTTTACAAATGATAAGAGAAATCCAGCACAGAGATCCACCATGGTGCATATTAGGAAAAACACAAACAACCTTCTATTTATGTGTTAAAGCCACATCTACGCTGCCATATAATGCAGTATGGGAATCACAGTATGTGGAGGGGGGGGAGGTTTACTATGGGGGAGAGGGGACATTAGCGTCTACCTATTAAAATATCATGTAAGAGAAAAGAGGAATAAACAAAACATACAGACATTTTATTAACATGTAGCCTGTCCTTGATCAATTTATTGAAAGGAGCATTAGCCCAAGTTCTTTTTTAAAAAAAACGTTTCAACGTTAGGCAAAAAATTTCTGAGTGGGTATTACTGTTAAAATAGGGATCTCTGAAATTATAGTATTCACTCTATAGCAGTGGTTCTCAATCTTCCTAATGCCGTGACACCTTAATATAGTTCTTCATGTTGTGGTGACCCCCAACCATAAAATTATTTTCGTTGCTACTTCACAACTGTAATTTTGTTACTTTTATGAATAGTAATGTAAATATCTGATATGCAGGATGTATTTTCATTCACTGGATCAAATACACAATACTCCCAAATTTGAATACTGGTGGCGTTGGGGGGATTGATTTTATCAACAACCAGTAACCAATAGCTGAGCACAGTGGGCGTATTCAGAGCTGAAAGCGTAGGGTGAGAGCTTGTGCAATATACTACAAGGGTGGGGCTAGTAAATACAAAACTCAGGTATTAAGTTAGGGCAACATGTCAATGGTTGAACCGATTAATCAAAGGCACAACGGAACAACCAAGTTTTCAGGTCTTTCCGGAAAGTGGATAGAGTGGGCGTTAATCTAATTTCTCTGGGGAGGGAGTTCCAGAGTCGGGGGCCTGTCACCTAAAAGGCCCCTCCCTTGCCCCCACCAGAGAAGGGCATCCCCAGAAGATCTTTAAGCTCACACAGGTTCAAAGTAGAAGATGTGATCACAAAGATAGGCTGGACCCAAACTGTTTAGGGCTTTGTAGGTGATAACCTGCACCTTGAATTGGGACCGGAAACTTATCGGCAGCCAGTGGAGCTGTTTTAATGGAGGGCTAGCCAATCCCTATAATTTGCTCCAGTTAGGAATCTAGTATAGAATCCTAGAATCTTAAGAGTTAGAAAAGATCACAAGGGCCACCAGACCGAAACCATGCAAGAACATGTTCAGTAACATATGGATCCTGTGCATAACATGTGGACCTATTGTAACACAGGATCTTGATTTTAAGTAATCTCTAATAAAAAGAATTCATGTTCTTCATTCAAAAGAGAAATTATATGTCCCAAACTATTTGTTTCTCTCTTTACCTTACCATAGTTTTCTGAAGGTACTATTATTTTCATTTCTAACACGGCACTGAAACTCATTGCAGTCTCTGTTGACTGTCTTCCAAGAAAGTAAAAAGTAAGAGTGATTCCCTACAGGCAACCTACAATCACATACCTTAAATAATCCTTTATCTTCTAGACATTTTGCTCCTAAGTCTGACTTTGCCTTTTATAGACACTTAGGGATCAATTTGCACATAATATTATTGAGTAAACAGACCATAGTTTATTAACTTGAAAAGAAATATAGACCTACATATTCACCTTTACCCTCCTTCCCATGTCTATTAGTTTCAATCCTGTTGTTTTAAAACCACATTTATCCATCCTGAAGATAAGGGAAAACTGTGGTTTCTAGACATTGAGACTGAACTGGCAAAGCTTGTATGTGAGAGCTGATGGAAATAAGTGGGATTGATGCTCATTCTGTTACGGGAGTGTCCCCGTTTTCCAAGATTCCGAGAGATCAGCGAAGAAGGAAGAGACAGAGACAGCTGT